GTGATGGGTGATCTGCCAAGTGAGGCTGAGGACAATACGGTGACGGACTTGAGGACATCGCTGGCAGCAGAGCTATCCAAAGTTTCCTCATTGGCTTTGTCTTTGGCTGCATCCCTGACGGCGGACATCGGCAACCTCGATGATTTGGTGAGCTGGTGCGATGGCCAGTTTCCCCGCCCTCACAGCGGCTTCACGTTCGAGCCGCTGTCTGAGTCAAAGGCTTTGGCGTGGGAGCAAGCTGGACATCCTTCGTGAACCCTATAGCCTATAGTCCTACTTCAGCGGCGGCGGTAGCAGTACCATTTATCGAGCAATGTGCACGGACAACATGCCGCTTTCAGGGTGCCTGTTGCATCAGTTTCCGAGTTTAGGGTTGGGTGTTTGCAGGATTGCTGCAGCTGCAAGTCGTGAATTTCAAGGATGCCGATGACCGCGCCCTTGCCAAGGGTCTCATGTCTGCGTGGGCTCAATTGCGAGAGCTGAAGCGTGGCGAGGAGGAGGTGAAGGACCTCGACGCCCTGATGCTGAAGCTGTCGAAGTATGTCAACACGGTGAGCCAGTGGGGTGAGAAGTCCTTGGACGCTTGTGAAGGCGTCCCTGACTTTTTCCGCAAGCTGTTGCCTCCTCTCCGCAATCTTTCCTCACGCATGTTAGGCTCCGGCCTGGAAAGCGCGAAGGCCAAGGTCTTCGAGCAGAGGCCGGATATCGAGAAGATGCAGGCAGTGGTGGAGAACAAGTTCCCATCGCATGGATCCTACGTGGCGGGTGTGAAGGATTTCTTGCTCAACGTTGGGCACCTGTCAAAGGTGCTTTTTCAGCTCGACTGCCTCATCTTGAACGTCGAGAAGCAACAGATCCCTTCGGCTGAGCAGACCGCCGAGCAATACCACGCTGCGGTCGCTGCTTTCAGGCTGAATCCAGATCTGTTGGCTGCCACGGGCCAGCAAGGGAAAGTGGACAATGCCTTCAACGACTTCAAGTCTTCCTTGGAGGACTTGCTCGAGACGTGCAACATGAACCTTGAGACACTTCGTTCTCTATCAAAGAACTACTAGCGCCGCGGCTGTGACCGGGTATGTATACTGTATACCGTATACCGTATAACCTCTTAACACAGCTGAAGCTTGCGCTAGTTTGAGTTTGATGGGGTTCCGAAGCATGTTTCTTGCTAAGGAAGATTCTCGAGGCCAGTGCGGCTTGGAATGCTGCTCTGATGGAGGAGTTGCTTGCGCTTCCAAATTTCGAGGCGGATATGGACACGCTGC